AGATAAAGGCATCATTCAGTTGCTTCCGTAAGTACTGGTTGTAGAGACAGTAGAAGTAGCTAACAGACACCTGCAGTAGGTTAAGGAAGACTCCCTTCACTAGTAGTTAGTCTTGGTCATGAAAATCTGAATTTTGTCAAATGTATTCTAGTTAGATCATGGATTCTCAACCTGTGAGTCTGTACGGACATTTACAAAGAGAAAATTTAACAGAGGAAGATTCACTATGATTGTGAATGATTCAGATTCATAACAGTAGCAAAATTACAATTATGAAGTAGCAGTGAAAATAATTTGATGGTTGAGGGTCACTGCAACATCTGGAACTATCTGTTAAATGGTTGCAGTGTTAGGAAGGCTGAGGACAACTGAGTTCGATGATTGTAGATGTTTTTCATTATTTTACTGATAAACTGTGCTGTATGTGTTGATTTTCTTACTGTAAATGACCTTTGCATGTTGGAATAAGTCCCATGTGGTCATGACATAGTCCTTTGGTTGTGCTGTTGAGTTTGATTTGCCATTGTTTTGCTGAGAAACTTGGCATCTGTATTCATAATAAATATGAACTCGAGATGATATATGTGTCTGGCTTTGGTAACATAAAGCCAGCCACTAGAGTATGTGATCAGGTGTTCTCTTCTCTTTCTGGAAATTTGAGTAGAATCCTTGTCAAGTTTTTTCCTCAACTATTTGGTTGACCTCGTCAGTGAAACCACTTTGGGACTGTGCTTTTCTTTACTTTGAGGTTTTTGTTGTAGCTTCTCCGCTGGGCAATGATTCCATGTCCTCTGCAGTCTTCCCTGTAGCTGGTTTATCTCAGAGATTATCTCATTTGTAAGCATACAGAAGTATCTTAGAATATTTATGATTTCTGTAGTAACCCCACTTTTCATTTCCAATTTAACTCAGTTGCCTTTCAGTTTTTCTTAGTCTAATGAATTTCTTTAGTTTAAAATTTTACTACTTTTTTCACCTTTATTAAAATTGACTTGGTTTCATTGATCTCTTTTACTAATGTTTGGTGGGTTTTTGTTCTTTCGTTTTGTTTTCATTTTTTTTCTGATCCATATTATTTTGTCTTTCTATGAGTGTTAGGTTTACTTTGCTCTTTTTCTGGTGCCATGCATAAATCACTAGGTTATTTACTTGTGTGTCTAACCTAGACATTGAATTCCATAATTTTTCATCTAAACTTTGACTTCACCTCCTAGGTTTTACTATGTTTGCTTTCATTTCTGCTTACCTTACAGTGTTTTCTGATTTCCCTAACAATTTCCCCCAGCTCATTGTGTCTTTTTCCCACCGTTCCTTCTGTTGCTGATTTTAGCTTTATTCTGTGGTGGCTAGACAATGGTTGTGTATTGTGCACGTCAGATGTGTGTCCTGCCATTGAGGTATGGTGTGCCTGTAGAGCTCACTGATTGATTATGTAACTCAGGCCTATAACTTCTTCATTGATCCTCTGTCTAGTTGCTCTATCTGCAATTGAAAGTTATACAGGAAAGCATTTTATTAACTTGTGCTTGTCTTAAATTTTTCCTTCATTTATGGGAGAGGTTTGGAAAATACAGGTTTATTAATTCTTTGAGAGTTTTGGGTTTTGTACAATGTGGTTTTGTATAATTTTCGGTTCCTTCCCCTACCTCTTCCCAGATCACTCCACTTTGCCAACCCACTGAACTTTGTGACTCCCACAACTTTTAAATAAAACAAACAAACTCCTTTAAGACCAATTTGTGCTGCCCAAATATTCTTGCATAAGTGGTCTTCCACTGGAGCGTAGTCAGCTTATCAGATGTGCTCTTTTAGAAAACTCTCTCTTCCTTTCCCATACCTAATGATTGTTGTTTTGCTTTACTGCTCGGAGTGGAGTGCAATTGTGCATCCAACTTCCCTCCCACGCTGGGATTTGGTTCGGCTTGGTCTGGCCCAGGTTTTGTACATGCCGTCACAATGGCCATGAGTTAATAGCGCAGCTGTTCTGCTGGATCCAGAAGATGTTTCCTTGTAATCACCCACCATTTCAGACTCTATACTCTTTCTGCTCCTCTTTCTGCAATGATCCCTGAGCTTTGGGGTGTTTGGTGTGTGAAATGTCTACGTTCCTGTTAGGGCTGAGCATTCTACAGTCTGTGTTCTTCATTCAGCTTTGGGTCTCTGTGTTAGTCACCGTCTACTGCAGATAAGATCTTAGTTAGGGTTTGGAGATGTACTGATCTGGTGGTCTCCACTTGACCTTCCTTCTTTTTTTTTTTTTTTTTTTTTTTCGAGACAGGGTTTCTCTGTATAGCCCTGGCTGTCCTGGAACTCACTCTGTAGACCAGGCTGGCCTCGAACTCAGAAATTTGCCTGCATCTGCCTCTCAAGTGCTGAGACTAAAGGTGTGCACCACCACTGCCCGGCTCCTTCCTTCATTTTTGAAGGGAAGGTCATCAAGGTAGTTCTCAGTTGATAGTTGTTTCATTTAGCACCTCCCCTCTTTGTGCCTCCTGCTTCTATGAGAAGTTGGCTGTTGATACCCTACTGTAGACTTGTTTTCCTCCCCATGCCTGTAAGAGTTTTCTCCTTGGCATTTGCTGGCTTGATTCTGTCTGTCAGGTCTTGTGCAGTCTGTCTTCCTTGGATGTGTCTATCTTTCACCAAATATGGTGAATTTTTGTCTATTTTTTTCTGAAATACGTTTCTGTACCTTTCTTCTGTAGGTCTCCCACATTTGTAAGTTGCTAACTTAAAAAATGCTGGTCAGGTCTCTTTGGCTGCCTTTTGTTGTTTGTTTTGCTTTTGCCAGTTGTTCTTTTCAGTTTCAGCTTCTCCTTTGGATGCAGTGTCCTAGCGTCAGGCTTTTTCTGTTGTCTGCTCAGACCTCCTGGCATCTCTCTAGTTGCTTTTGTTTGTCTAGTAGTTTTGTTTCAGTTACTGTGTTCTGCAATATTTCAACCCAATTTCCTTATAGACTCTCCATTAGAAGGACTATTCCTGGTCCATTCAGACATTCTTCTCACCCTGGTTTTATGTTGCTGTCCGTGAGGGGTTTTTTGTTTTGTTTTTGTCTTGTTTTGTTTTTAACATTTTTTTAGACAGTCTTCAGTAAGACCAGTGCTTATACCTCTGCCTGGGTAATTTCTGTCAGTTTTGTTCCAGGCTCCCAAGATGATCCATACTTTCTGTTTCATGTGTACTTTACAGTTTACTGTTGAGAACAGATAAGAATACAGTAATTCTGGAAGTCAGATTCTCTGGAATATAACTGTCTTACTTATTTGTGGTTCTTATGAGGACTGTATTTCCTGTGCCTAATCACTAAAAGCTCTTTTCTACTGCCTCTGAGGTCAGCCAACAATCTGGGTCCAATAAGGAAAAGGAATGTTTCTATGCCAGTCATTTCTTTTGAAAGAATCTGCTTGGGAAGTCCTTCATCTCTAAAAGGGTTGAGTTAATGAGCAGCCTCTGTTCTGGTCACTCACTGAGAAGTCAGGTAAATCAGAACAGGCCTTCAAATCGTAGAGGATGTGTTTCCACCCTACCTCTAGCAGGCTACTTTAGAAGCAAGCCATTTGGCAGGGCTACTTGCCAGGCTGGAGCCTGGAAGTTGAAGGTTACCGAATGCTGGAATTCAGTGAAGTCCTCCCAGCCCCATTTTTTCTACTTCAATACTTTTCCAGGTACTGCAAACATTGAGGAGACCTCAGAGTCTGAAACTGGTTTTAACAGTTCTTATGAACTCACTCATTGATGTGGTATAGGGACTGATTTCAGAGTGTTTATCCCAACACTCTAGGATCTCACTCCTCTATTGATTGTTAAATATAAAGAGTGTGCTGACCCTTCCCCTCATGGGCTGCAGCACTTTGGAGAGAGGGCCCTGCTCCTCACCTGGGGCAGCACAGTAGGGCTGGCCCTGGTGCAGAGGACACAGGTGAGCTAGCCCTTAGGGCAAGAGGAAGATAGAGCTGGCCTAACTGCTTGTCTGTCATAAGATGGTGTGGAGGTGGGGGTGACACCCTCCCCTCCTTACCCCTCACCACCTGTGCCAGTCAGGAGAGTGGGTGAACTGAGAGTGGGTAAGCTGGGCCTGGTGGAGGGGCACAGGAGAATCCCCCCACCCCAAGGGCAAGAACACAGGAGAACTGACCCTGCCACTTGTTTGCTGTGAGGTGGCCAGGGTGCCGGGGTGAGGCCCTCTCTCACTTTCCCTTGTCATCAGTAGTAGTCAAGAGAAGTGACCCTGAGGTTATGAGGTAGGGTGGGGAGCTAGCCCTGCCCCCCACTTGTGAGAGCAGGAGAGCTGGCCCAGCCCTCCCCAGTTGCACCACTTGGGAGAGTAGGCCCTGTGCCTTGACTGAGCAACACAGTGGAGCTGGCTCTGGAGGCATGGCTACTGGTGAGCCAGCCCCAAGGGCATGAGAGCAGGAGAGCTGACCCTGCCCCCTCCTGATGGCACCCTTGAGTACCCTGGCCAGAACAGTGTTGGAGAATATGCCCTAGTGGTGTAGATAGGTAGGACCAGCATGCTGAGCAGTTGTTCTACCACCCAAGCCCAGGTCCAGGCTCTGAGTTGGCCTGCCCCCAAATCTATCATCATCTGTGAGTGGTTGGGATGTGTTGGGGGTGGAGTGGTCCTGCTGATTCAAGATTGCAGGGTCTCCATGGCACAGGACAGCAATGAGCTGGTTGAGAAGAGTCCTGTTATTGGTCGTATCCCAGGAGGGGGAGACCTCAAGCCAGACAAATAACTCGTTGCAATGAACATTTGCAAGTGAAGATGTGTGGACAGAGGGATATGCTGTGGGACACATTGTGACATACTACAGCTTCCATGATGAGGTGTTTTCCTATGTTTTGTGTGTGTGTTTTATCTATATATATATGTGTATCCATATATATGTATCCATATGTATATGGATATATAGAGTGTTAAAAGATTTGCTTTCTGAGTATCATTATCTTTGCATGACCTCAGTACTGAGATTTCATGTATACCTTTTCTTCTGTTGCAGGACAGTTCGTGTTTGGTTAAAGAGGGACAGTGGACAGTACTGGCCAAGCATTTACCATGCAATGCCTTGTAAGTATCTTGGTTTCCTGAGAACCCAGATCTTTACCCCAGTGACCCTTCCTTCCCTATTTACTTTTTCTGTGTTTTCTTCTTGAGTAACTAAGACTAAAGGTTGGGAATCTTACTAAACTTGAAAGTATCATATTAAATCACTTTCTAGTTTTCTAAGGCTCTCACTATGGAAAGTGAGGAAACTGTTTGGAAATTGATTGTCGGTAGGTTCTAATAAGAGGAATGGAGAAGGGACGCAGGCTGTCTGGTTACAGCAGTCCTGTCTTGTTTCTCACTTTGCTTTAGCTATTCTGAAGTCTGTGTCCTTAGACAATTCAAAGTTCTGTTGGGTGGTTACATTTTTGAAGTAAATTTGTCCTTGTATTATTTTTAATCCTTTAAAAAAATTCAGGACATTGAGCTTTGAGCATTGAGTTCTCATGGATTTGCTGAGTCTTGAGACATTCTAATTAGAAGTGGATTCCTTTTTGCCAGCATCTTACTGGAGGAATACATCCTTGTACAGATTGGTACAATAGTTGTACCAGCCTTGATGTCATTGACATAAGCCATCAGGCCAATGGTGGACTCAAATCCAGGGCAACAGCCAGTTTTCCACTCTAGGAGATCATAGAGCTGAAAGAGAAAGGAGAGGAGAGGACAGGAGATAGGAGGGTGGGAGAGGAGAAGAAAAGGGAAAAGGACTTTTCAGTTTCCTTTGTTAGTACAAGTTCCTCTACACTGGAACTGGTCTGTTAAGTTAGGAAATTACTTATAGTCTAGAGATTTTATTCTTTAAAATTAATAAGATTTCTTCTCTCTATATTTTTCTGTAAAATAATTGTTTGAATTTATTATAGTAAACATTTCCCTCCCTCCCTCTTCCCTCCCACCTCCCTCCTTCCTTCCCTCTGTTCTCTCTCTCTCTCTCTCTCTCTCTCTCCCTCTCTCTCTCTCTCTCTCTCTCTCTCTTCCTTTCCTTCTTTCTTTCAGATAGGGTCTCACTATATAGCCTTGGTCTGGAACTTGCTGTGTAAACTGGATTGGCCTTGAACTCACAGAGCTACATCTGCCTCTGCCTTCCCTATCTCTTATCCCTCACTCCCACTGTGTGTGTGTGTGTGTGTGTGTGTGTGTGTCTGTGTGTGTGTGTGTGTGTGTGTGTGTGTGTGTGTGTGTGCACGGTACTGGGATTAAATGCCTGTGTGATCATGGCCAGCATCTGTTTAAATCTTAGTAAGATTAGACACTGTAGAAAAATCTCCATGGTTTGTTAGGACTCATACTCCCTTTAGCTTTCTGTAGTGTGTGTCTCACCCCAGCTTCAGAAGTACCTGGCACTATGCCAAACCAAACTAAGCTCTAGGTGATTATGTTTATGCCTCTGGCAAAAGAGGACTGTACTATTTTACATGTTCCTGAGTAAATGATTTATGTTTTATAAAATGTTTTCCATATAATATATTTTGAATGTGTCTCCCATAACTCATCTTAGATCCTCCTTACACACCCAATTCCACGTTCTCTCTGATTCAAGAAACAATATGACAATGAAAATCAAAATAAACAAGCAAAACCCAATAAGACCCAAAATGCCAAAACAAAACCAAAAGCTTCCCCAATACACATACATAAAACGACCAAAGTTGTGGAGTTCATTGTGTTAGCCCACTGCTACTGGACATGGGCCTGCCGCAGAGTAAAATATAATATATAATATACATAAGATTAAGATAAAACAAGAACTAACACATCAGAGTTGGACAAGATAAACAGAAGGAAGAGAGCCCCAAAAAAGCACAAGAATCAGAGACCCATTCTTTTGCACACTCAGAAATTCTATAAAAACACTAAACTGGGGACCATAATATATAGGACCTGGTGCAGACTGGAACAGGCCCTGCGCATGCTGCTTTAGTTTCTTTGAGTTCATAAGAACTTTGAGCATGTTGATTTAGAAGGCCTTGGGTTTTTTTGTTTTTGTTTTTTTGATGTCTTCCATCCCCTCTGGCTCTTACATTTTTTCTGCATCCTCTTCGTCAGAGTTCCCCGAGCCTTGAGGGGAGGGATCTGATGGAGACATCCCAGTAGGCTGAGAGGCTCCAGAACTCTCCCACTCTCTGGACAATCTTTAGCTGTTGGTCTCTGTATTTGTTCCCATCTGCTGCAGGAGGAAGCTTTTCTGATGATACTGAGTGAGGTGCTCATCTATGAGTATAACACAGGGTCACTAGGGGTCATTTTACTGAGTGAGGTGCTCATCTATGAATATAACACAGGGTCATTAGGGGTCATTTTATCACTATTTTGTTTTTAAGACCAGTAGTACTTAGTTTTACTCTAAGTTCCTGGACTATCTAGTCTCTGATGCTTAGTCACCCAAACAGTGTTGGGTGTGGGTTTCATCTCATGGAGAGGGCCTTAAAGTCCAATCACATACTAGTTGGTTCCCATAAGCTTTGTGCCACCGTTGCCCTAGCACATCTTGCAAGTAGGACACCATTGTAGATGTGGGTGACGGGTTTGGTGTTTTAAGTTTTTCTTTGGATAGCATGCTAAATATGTTCCTGAACCAAATATACTAAAACATAGGAGTGAAGACTCTGTGTAGGCACCAGCTTGACTTCTCCATGTTCAGTGAGTTCTGTAAGTATTGTCTTTAGCCATGGGGTCCTGCTGTCAGTTTATGGAGAGTAACTTATTTATCTTGGCAATAGCCTGGGATGTTTGGAGATTTTTCTTTGGAACCCCTTTGGCCAATAACTCAATTAGGTGTAACCCAATCTTTGTACTGGAAGCTTCTTTTAATGACAAAAGATGACCAGTTGGGACTGTCTCACCCATTATTTGGTGGTTTCATTTAGATTGCCTTCATATTCGTATATATTTTAGGACATATCTACTGTATAAGCTTTTCATACTACCCTCAAATGGTTCTTAATTTTATCTGGTTCTCGCTGTATTCCCTCCCTCATTCCCCCTTCTCTCTTCTTTCCAACTTGATTCTCTGGTTCCAGTTCTTCCCCCCCTCCAACTATTTATTCTCTCTTTCCTAGTAAGATCTATCTGTACCCTGTAGATCCTTATGCTATACCTGTCTTCTGTGGTCCTATGGATTATAATCTGATTTTCATCGACTTAACAGCTAATATTCACGTAGAAGCACACAGCATGGTATTGGCACAAAAACATATTGATTAATGGAATTGAAGACTCAGATATAAATTTACACAGCTGTGGGTGCCTGTTTTTTTTTTTCATTTTGTTTGTTTTTGTTTTAATAAAGAAGCCAGAAACACACACGAGAAAAATAATAGCATCTTCAGCAATGGTGTTGGTCAAACTGGATGGCTACATGTAGAAGAATACAAATAGATCCATACTTATCACCCTGCAGGAAACTCAACTCCAAATGGATCTAAGGCCTCATCATAAAACCAGGTGCACTGGACCCAATAGAAGAGAAAGCAGAGAATAGCCTTGAACTCATTAGCACAGGAAAAGACTTTCTGAACAGAACACTGTTAGCACACGCACCAAGATCAACAATTAATAAATGGTTCCTCATAAAACTGAGAAGCTTCTGTACTGCAAAGGGCGCCATCAATCAGACCAAGCGGCAGCCTACAAAATAGAAAAAGATTTTCACCAACTACACATCTGATAGAGACCAATTATTCAGAATTTATAAAGAACTCAAAAACCTACATATCAAGAAAGCAAATAACCCAATTAAAAATTGGGTACAAATCTAAACAGTGCATTCTCAATAGAGGAAACTCAAATGGCCTAAAAATACTTGAAGAAATGTTCAACATCCTTAGCCATCAGGGAAATGCAAAACAAAATGACTTTTAAGATTTCATTTTATACATGTCAGAATAGCTAGATCAATAAAACAAGTGACAGCTCATGGTGACAAGGATGTAGACTAAGGGGAACATTTCTTCCATTGCTGGTGAGAATGCAAATTTGTGCAGCCACTGTGGAAATCATTGTGACAGTTCTTCAGGAAGATCAGTATCAATCTACCTCAAGATACAGTTCCACCACTATTGGGCATACACCTAGAAGATACTTTATTCTACCACAGGGACACTTGCTCAACCATTTTCATTCCTGTTCTATACATAATAGCCAGAAATTGAAAACAACCTAGGTGACCCTCAATTGAAAAATGGATAAAGAAAATGTGGGTACTAGCTAGGCTGAGGTGGACCATGCCTTTAATCCTTGGACTTGGAAGGCCAAAGCTTGTGGATCTCTTTGAGTTTGAGCCAGCCTGATCTACAGAGCAAGTTTCAGGACAGCCACAGTTACACAGAGAAAATCTGTCTTGTAAATCTAAAAAGAAGAAAAAAGAAAATGTGGTATATTTACATAATGTAGTGGTATTCAGTTATTTGTAAGTAAATAGGTGGAGCTAGGGAAAAAAAATCATCCTGAGTGATTTAACCCAGACCTAGAAAGACATACATGGTCTGTATTCACTTATTTATATGTGGATGCTAGCTCTTAAGGCTATGATTTTAAAAAACTAAACTAAACAAACCATTTTCTGTGATTTTGACTTGGTTTTCTTCTTCTTTCATACCTATGGTCTTCCCATAGTGTTCTTGATTTCCTGTATGTTTTGGGTCTACATATATAAGTGTAAGTGTAAGTGTGTGTGTGTGTGTGTATACATACACACACACACACACACACACACATATATATATATTTAACATTTTGTTTGTCTTTTCTCCCATGTTGTCTTTAGCATGCCAAGTTGTGTCTTCTTTGTTTTGTAATCTCTTGAGATTTACTTCTGAATTTTTTGTTTCACTTCTTACATTTTTCATTTTCAGTTTGGGTTTCCTTAATGATTCTATTTCCTTGTTAAATTCTACCTTCATGTCTTGAACCATTTTCATTATGTTTTTCAGCTGTTTGTGTTTTTATGATCTTCATTAAGGCATTATTTGTATCTTCTTCAAGGTTCTTGAACACATTCATAATTGATACTTCGAAGTCCT